TTTGATCTTATATTATTTAAGTTTGCATCAATTTGTTTTGAGATAAGAGGTTTCTCTTTATTCACTTTCATAACTCTGATATTCCATAAGTTACAGATGCCTTCAAAGAATACATCAAACTATGACAATGATAAATTGAGTTATTATTCCCATAAACAAAATCACCTTCCAAAATTAACGTACGCGCTGTCAGCTATCATAGGAAAATTATTGTCTTCATAGGGCTCTCACGTCGATGATAACTTTTGCATAGTATAATAATAACTACATATGGATAAGCATAATGCTACAGTATATTCATCCTCCATGCGTTCGAGGAAAATAGTTATCCCTTAATTTCAGGCTATTAGAATGTCTAAACTGTTATGCTCACTATTTAGGAAGTACTAAAACTATGACAAATCATCATTCTATCTAACAAATATTTTTTAGGTTCATTTCGTAAGGACTTACCTGAAGAGGTATTCCAAGAAATTTTTGTTGATATTCTGAATCTTGGGTATAAAGATTCATTGCCGATAAAATTGCTTAATGAACCACTCCTCTTAACTTTTCTTTCGAAATCCATGGATTCTTCTCTATTCCTTGATAGATAACTGAGGTGGCAGTAATGTGCTCTTGCTTAGCAGTTACTAAAAAGTTGTAAATTTTCGAATATAGTTTAGAAGACATAGTTTTGTGTTGTTAATATAGAATAAGTGACCTGAACATAAATTTTCCATACTGCCCTTTTAAATGCCACCATTTCTCATTCTCTTCATGTTTGGGAAAGAGATAAAAGAAATATGCAAAGCACTTTACGCCAATTTTTTTGAGAATATGGGTATGCGGAATGTGCATTAAAGATCTCAACATTACATCATATATATTTTAACGAGGATCAAAAACGTGCTAATTCATGTCGTACATGCCTTCATGCATTGTGGCTGGACAATATATTATTTTATTAAGATAATATTCAAGATTTGGGTCAAGGACTAATCTGGAAAATTCGGTAGGTGATACATTTCATGCATAGCGCTTCAATTTTACTAGGCAATCATGCATGCAGATTATATAGCTATTCATTTCACAAAAAAAAATAAAGTATAAGTTATGTTTGGCTAAATATGGGTTAATGATCGAAAGATATTGTGAAGCGTCTTAACAGCTAAATTTATTTTCTTCCTACCGTACAGAATCGAAGTATGCTTCAGTCGCCTAAATCAGTCAAGCCAGCTAGATGACTGTGATTACTCTCCCATCCCTCAATCTCAACATAGTACCTTTTGGCTGTTTTGTATACAGAGACGAGATAAATAATTCGCCTGTATCACTTTTATAAGAAGTTGGAGAAATCACTTCTTGCCTAGCAGATGAAATACAAGCTGGCTTTGGAGTACTTGGCATAGTATTTTTTTCTACTATTGCTTTAGACTGGGCATATACTTCATAGCTAGATGTTAAATCTGTATCATGATTATATGATATTGATGCCAATTTATCCTTTTCTGAATGTGAAGTAGATTGGGAGAAAAGCTCTAAGCGGAGATGATTAATTTTAGCCTCTTCTTGTAATATGTATTGTTTATATTACCAGATCTTAAATTCCCTTGTATCGATAGATTCAAGAATTTCATTTTTTCTTACATGTTCATTCGAAATAGTATTTTCAGAAATACATCTCTTCAAGTAACTATCTCGATAAAAATCGTCTAAAGTAGAATATTTTTTAGGAATGAAAACCAAGGAATCGCATATACTACAATATATGTAATTTGATGGTATCCATTCCTAGAAAGAATTCTTGGATTTTCTTTTAGTATTTTTCTAAATGGATCTCTAATACGAGAGCACCACATTTCTGGTGTTTCGTGAGCATGTCTTTTGTTAAAGGCGATATTGCATCCAATATTCTTATATATTCTTCAGAGCCTCCATAAGAATTGTGCGCATTAATTAACTTAGAATATGTTTTACTATCTAAATCCATAATACTATTTTAGTAGATTATATTTATAGTATTTTTAGCAATTTTAGCTGATTATACTCTAATAAATATCAGATTCATTTTTATCGTGTGAGTCGCATGTGACTGGGTGAAAACAGATTCGGCTAAATTAGCCCGATCACCATAGATGGCTAAATTATAAAATTTGTATCACATGAGATAGTTTCTATAGATAATCGACATCTAAGCCACCAATTTATCAAATTAATCACGTCAATATTAACTCAATCTGCAAGTCAGAAGTTATGAATGTAAATACAGAAAGAGAAGTCATTGCCAAAGCCGTACTCAGAAGCGAATGTGATAATTATTTTTACGAGTACCTGATACGGAGAAGGGAACAAGCATCTTTTGTGAAAGAAATTCAAATAGAAAATAGCTGTTATTGTACTACACTACTTAACCTTAAGAATGATCATGAACTCAGAGTCAACGCAAAAAGTGCTTTGGACGCGTTTGAGGTAAAGTACTTGTTTTTCTTGGTCATTCTTCCTATCATTCTTGTATTACTCAAGCAAGAACATCTTCGGTTTGTTCTTGTGATGATCTTCAGTTTCGAGTAATGATAAGTTATGGCTTTTACCAAGTAAGAGCATCTTCGGTTTGCTCTTATAATAAACTGCGGTTTGGGCTTCACCTAGCAAAAGCATCTTCAGTTTGCTCTTGTGTCCAGATGGAGTTTAGCCAGCTACAGCACATTACACAATGATGTATGCATTTTTAAGATATTGACGCTTATTTTTCTTTTAAGGTGGAAAAAAAATCTTCAATAGTGACCAATTTTTGGACGGAAATCCAAAACTTAGAAGAGGAAAAAAATGCTATTCGAACTGCCT